CTGATCTCAAAGCACTTGTCCTCAGGATAGGGAACAGCAGGGGGATGCAGGAATAGCAGGGATAGCTTCCTCCCAGCCCCCTCCCCAATTTGGTTCCGCTGACATAGGAATTTTATGATTCCCATACCATGCAGGGGCTGAGCCTTCTTTAGGATGACTTTGTTCTCCCTCCCACTGGGGGAATCCTCCCTATGCCTTAAAACTGCCGAGCCCCACTCCATGTAATAGGATTCCTGGGCTTCCTCAACGGGACTGTGGCCCCTCAGTCCTTAACTGGAAAGTGACCGTCCACTGCCCCCTGGAGCCCATCTGGACACAGCACAGTCCCAAACCTGTTAGCAGCTGGCTCTGTTTCCATGCCTGGGGAGGGGTTCCTCAGTGCAGGAGTTGGGGCCAGGCTGGGGCTCCGAGCTGCTTGAGGGGGTCAACCTTGGACCAAAGTTGCCTTAAGCCTGTGGTAAAAGGGCTTCAGGGAAGGTCAGTGGGCCACCTGCTAGAAGCTGCCAGCTGCCCGGCTGGCAATGGTGTGTCTTGGCCCCATCCCTGCCCTGGGGTCCAGCAGGTCATCCCTCCCTTCTCCTCTCTCCTTTGGTGTTTGTTCCTGTAGCCACTGGGCTAATCTCCCCCTAGCTTCAAGCTGTACATAGGGCCTCCCAGTGCAAATCCTCCTGCCCATTCTGTGCCCCCTTAGAAGCCTGCGTGTGCATAGAGCGCCCCCTACCTTCCAGTTAACTCCCAGTTCTCCCTGAGCTTGGTATTTATCGTGTGCCAACTCTGACTCTGAGGTGGGCAGTTGAGGGAAGCAGCCCCGGGCCTGCTTGCTTCCTGTCCCCGAAATGTTCTTTTCTTCTGAAGTAAATATACATATATAAATAAATGTATAAATACTGCTTTGTATCTGAGCTTGCCTCCTTGTCTCTTCTTGGGATTGGTCTGGTGGGAGAGGAGTCACCTATGAGGCGAGGGCCAACTGGAATTCAAAGTTCTTCCTGAGAAGCCTGGAATCTCTGAGCTCCTGAGCCAGAGGGCCAAATGGATGCTTCATACCCCTTATCCTCTTAGCTTCATACTGGAGTTAGGAGTGGATTCAGCAGCCCCTCCCGTGGCCACACCTTCCCCTCCCGCACACCCGCTGCTGCCCACCTGTGTTAAAAGTAGCCACCGAGGGGAAAAGCCTTCTTAGGGGGACAAGCCGAGCCTGGTGAGGATGCCCCAGCACAGAGAAGGGTGGCTATGTTTATGGCAGGGACTGGCCTAGGGCAGAAAGGACTGATGCGGATTCCTAGAGAAGTCTGTCCTAGAAACAACAGAAAAGGGTAGGCCCAGACCCTTCCTATCCTCAAGTGAGCCTTAAATTCCAATGACAAAACACCCGTGCCACACAAATCTCATCCCCCTGAAGTAGATCAGCAGCAGGAACTGCGAAAGGCAGATGAGAAATGGGAAAGGGAAGAGATTGGGGAAGGAATGTAGGTCCCAGCACCCCGCCACCCCCGCAGAATGGACCCCAGACAGAACTGCCATACATCTGCCTTTATTATGAGCAGCAGGTGGGACACTTCCAGCAACAGTAAAAAAAAAAGTAATTTACAAAAGCAGGGGTTCAGTGAAGCCATCTGGTTGTTACCTAAAAGAGGAAAGGGGTATCAAAATGAGACCAATGGCCCTTCTTTCTACCTTCTCTCCCTGCACCCCTGTGCTCTCTGGGGCAAAGGCTGTCGAGCACATGCCTTTGAGGATGAGCCACCAGAGCTGATTCCCAGTGGCCTGTTTGGTGGATTGTCTGCAGCAAGTTTTAAGCCCCGGATCTTGACCCCCTTTCAGCCAGCCAACTTCCCAGCAGCCTCTCCAAGTCACTGGGGTCTGACTTCTAAGAGCATAAATGTACAACCATGGGAAGCCTGCGTTCACACTCCTACGTGGTACATCCCAAAGGCAGATCGAGGCCTTGGGCCATGTGAGCTCAGAATTGACAAAGTCACATTTGGCTCAAGTCTGTATGAGGGGCAGGGAAAGAGGCACAAATGTCTAGTGTCCCTACCCATTCCACTGAGTCTGTCTCCATCAACCAAGGGGTCATGCTGGCAAGAGCTTTAAGGACCCTACTGACCTGCCTATGGGGAGGCTTCCCTGGCTCATGCGTCCATCCCATTGCAGCTCTTACCCTTGGGCGCTCACACGTAGATGCCAACCCAGAGCAGCAGGAAAAGGACTCCAAAGCCCATGAAGAGTGAGGCCACCAAAGAGATGAGGAGCTCTTTATAGATATCACGAGTGTACTTGGTAGAGGTGACCTCGTAACTGGGCACAGCAGTTAAGGCAAAGTGAAGGGATGGACTGTGGAGTGCAGAGAGCCCAGCCAGTGGCACTCTGAGGAGAAACGTATTGGCTCAATGCCTTCTGGGAGGCATATCCAGCCCAGAGCAGCCAGGCAGAGGGGCCTAAGAGATGCTTTGGACTCTGGTGCTCCACTGCCATGAAGAAAATAAGACCCAGAGGAGTTAGGTCACTTGCCCCACGTCACATAGCTCATGAGGGCCGGAGCTGGGACTATCCCTCAGACCTCCCGACACCTGAGTGCACCCTTCCTTATGCCACCTTTCCAACTGTAGCACCCCTATTCCCCACCTCCACTCCAGCCAGGCCCCCTCCCTGCTCACTGTCCTGAAAATCCAAAGGACAAACTGAGCTCACCTGAACTTTGGAAATAAGGCCATAACCTGCTCCTGGGCATAACCAGCCCTCCTCCCCTCCTTACCTTCTCCCAGCCCCAATCCAATGTACAAAACTGGCGGGGTCCATGTACTTAGCATGGTTTCTCCCTTAGCCTCCCAAATCACTAATCACTGGTCCTCTGGCTGCTCAGTGAAAGGATACACGAAGAACCAGGCGGTGAAGAACATGCCGATGGCCAAAAGCACCACGGTCAGATGGGGGAAGACAGCCGGGTTCACTGGGCTGGTGTATCTGCTCATGGCCTCGAGCTCCTAGGGGAAGGCAAGAGATCAGAATTATCAAAGAATTCCATGATTTCAGCCTGGAGAGAACATGGGGTTATCAAGGAGCCTGGTGCTGCTGTGAAACAGAGGCTGATTTTGGCCTGGAAATGTAGCTGCAGATCAATGGTCCTTATCATTTTCTGAGGCCAATGATCTGACCACTATGAATATGTGACTAAAGGTACGAACTCTCTGCCTGAGAAAAACCACATACAAGAAAAAGTTTGCCTACAATTTCTGGAGCTTTGCGGACCAGTGTCTATAGACACCAAGCTGAGAACGCCTGCTAGAAGTCACTGGTGGTACCCAGATCTCAATTTTTTTTTTTTTTTTTTTTGACGGAGTCTCACTGTCACCCAGGCTGGAGGGCAGGGGCACGATCTCGGCTTACTGTAACCTCTGCCTCCTGGGTTCTAGAGATTCTCATACCTCGGCCTCTTGAGTAGCTGGGACTATAGGATTACAGGTGCGCACCACCACACCTGGCTAATTTTTGTATTTTTACTAGAGATGCGTTTTGCTGTTGGCCAGGATGGTCTCAAACTCCTGACCTCAGGTGATCTGCCTGCCTCAGCCTCCTAAAGTAGTGAGATTACAGGTGTGAATTGCCACACACAGCCTCAATTTCTTTCTTTTTTTTTTGAGACAGAGTCTTGCTCTATCGCCCAGGCTGAAGTGCCTGGAGTGCAGTGGTACGAACTCGGCTCACTGCAAGCTCTGCCTTCTGGGTTCAAGTGATTCTCCTGCCTTAGCCTCCGGAGCAGCTGGGATTACAGGCATGAACCACCATGCCCGGCTAATTTTTTGTATTTTTGGTAGACACGGGGTTCCACCATGCTGGCCAGGCTGGTCTCGAACTTCTGACCTCATGATCCGCCCGCCTCAGCTTCCCAAAGTGCTGGGATTACAGGCGTGAGCCACCGAGCCTGGTCCTCAATTTCTAATTCAGTATTTTCCTCACTACCTATACTATTATGGAATCTTGTGATCTACAGGGAAGGCATTCAAGTTCTGGTTCTACTGAGTAATCTGAGTCTGAGTAAAGTGATTGTATTATCTATTTCACAGGACTGATGTATAAGAAAGATGATGAATAAAAACTCTAGTGCCTGGCAGGGAAGATTTTGCTCCATAGGTATTTGCTTCCTTCCTAAGATTGTAGGGAACATGATGACATAATGCCTATGAAAGAGGGCTGTAAACGTAAAGATCTGTACAAATGTTAACTTCATTGTCACCCGTCAGCCAACGCTTCTAAAATCCAGAACATAACAACTCTAGAGAAGTAAACTGCTCCCATTGTTCTGAGACACTGGAATTCAATTCAGTAAACAATCACGGCCCCCTTCCCCCAAAATGATAAAGACAATCACTGCCATTTATTGAGCTTCCAATTACAGCCCCTCTGTTTGGCACTGGGAACACAAAGATGAATAGACATCATCCCAGAGCTAGATGCGCGTCAGACGGTGGTCAACTAGGAGGCGCGGCCGCAAACAAAGGAGTCCATGGAACGTGTACAGAGGCTGTGGGCGCTCCTAGGAGAGTCTGGCCAAGTGCCTCAGAGTTGGAAGTGCCTCACCAAGAAACAACATTTGCCCAGGGCATTGTAGCATGGGCACGGGTTCGGCAGAAGAACTTTCCAGATAAAGATAACACACCACAGATAACAGATATACAAACTGGAAGGTATTCAAAATACGCCCCACGCCTCTCATTCTTAGAAATCGCGAGCTCAGAAACCTAAGGAGTTCATGACAAGGGGTTTCCCCCTTCCCCACCCTTCAGCCCAAGCCGGAGTTTCCAAGAGCATCTAGCCCTCTGGATCTCTGGCGTCTGAGGAGAGAAGCGCGGTGTGGGTCAGATCCCGAGGGGTCCTTGCATCTCCGTCGGGAACTCCCCTTAACCCTCTCACCATTTTGCCCCGCGCAGGCTAATCCGCCGCTCCGCCACCGGAAGCACACGTCCGCAGGAGCAGGCGCCTAGCACAACGGGAAAAGGAAGTGCCTCCGGCGCAAGTGGCATTGGGGGACTTGTAGTCCCGCGATTTCGGGTGTAGCGGGAGCAGGGGCCTGCGGGGACCTGGTGTGGGTGGAGTAGGGACAAACGGTGGAGAAGAGTACGCCACGGTCGCTGAGAGACTCTGTTCTCCCTGGAGGGACTGGTTGCCATGAGAGTAGCCGTCTGAGGGGACGCAGCCTGCACTACACTCCCCAAGAGGCTGTGCGTGGCGGGCAGGTCACGTGATGGGAGCGCGGGCTTTGGAAGGCGGCTGAGCGTCAGGCGACCCGCCGCTAAGCTGAGGAGGGAAATCAGGTTTAGGAACCGCCTGCCCGGGCCAACCCCGAACAAAGCTTTAGCTGCCGAGGCCTCGTGTCTCAAAGGCCAGGTGAGACCCCATGGGAAGCGCCTCCGGGAGCGACGGGGTCCGCTTGGCGCTGGGGCCGTGGGGAGCCGGGGTCTGGAGTGCGCGTGATATGCAGTCAAGCGGTCCGGCCACTTTTCCCCCTGTGAGCCGTGGGCCAGTCGCGTAAGCTCCGAGCCTCTCTTTCCTCCATTGTAGAAAGGCGGTAATAAGTTCCACCTTATGGGGTCGTGTTGTATTTTTCCTAAGACCTTGGACGAGAAAGAGTTCTGACACTTGAGTTGTTTAGCCCTTTTCCTGCCTGCCTGCCTGTCTGTGGGACGCCGCAAGGGGATCAAGGGCTACACGGCCTGGTCCTCAGTCAACATTCCAGCAGGGCCGCCGGCTTGAGGCAAGAGCCGAAGGGTTGAACAGGCCTGGAGAGGGGACATTAGGGGTTTCCGTCTGTTGTCTCAGTTAACCCTGGTAGCAGCCCTGAGAGACAATCATGGTAATCGTTCTTCATAAACCTCAGTGGCTTGGTAATGTCACACGGATGGAAAATGCCGCGCCTGGATTCAAGGCCAGAGCTTTCGCCGTTGCAATTCACAGGGGAATTATTCATATTAATCAAATGAATAATTCATTATCAATTAATTATTAATTGATTAATAATCCAGGGATGGACCTGGAAGGACGCGTGAGAGGATGGCGAGAGGAGGGCACAGCTAAGGAAAAGTGGAAAAAGGCGGGCCTTATTCCAGCTTTCTGTTGAGATCCCAGAATGTAAGGTTAGGTTGGGAACCAGAACATGAAAGATCGTGACGCCATGCTGAAGTGTTTGGACTGAATTAGAAGGAAGAATTGAACAGTCATTGATGCTCTAGAAAGAACCCTGTGAAGGAAGAATGGGAACAATGAAAAGTCCTGGTGGAGTCTTCCATTTCTTCTTTCTCTTTTGTTTTGTTTTGTCTTTTCTTCTTTTCTTGACAAGGTCTTGCTCTGTTGCCCAGGCTGGAGTGTGGTGGCATAATCATAGCTCACTGCAGCTTGTTACTCCTAGGCTTATGTGATTCTCCCATGATGGCCTCCCAAAGTGCTGGGATTACTGGCCAGCGCCTCTTTGCCTGGCCCTGGTAGAATATTTCTTGGAGTATTGGACACATACCGCCAGTGGGTACAGGATGAGTTTTTATTTTTTGAGACGGAGTCTCACTATGTCACTAGGCTGGAGTGCAGTGGCACAACCTCGGCTCACTGCAGTCTGTGCCTCCTGGGTTCAAGTGATTCTCCTGCTTCAGCCTCCCTAGTAGCTGGGATTACAGGTGTGCGCCACAACACCCAGCTAATTTTTTTTTTTTTTGTATTTTTAGTAGAGAGGGGGTTTCACCGTGTTGGCCAGGATGGCAAGATGATTTTAAATTGCACCTCCTAAAAATCCTTTTTAATAGTTATATATTTAACACATATTAAAATATAACTAATAGAACACAAATATTATTGCTTATGAGTTTTCCAGTTTAGTTTTTAAAAAAAAATTCTAAGTGAATGAAAGTACAGGTTTTAGTTGGAAGTGGCAAAAATCGTGAGGGTGATTTGGGAAACACTGCTATCTGGGAAACACTGAACTCTGAAGTGCAATACTTTTTTGAGCCCAGTGACTATAGCATGCCAGACCCCTAAATCAGGACCTGGGGAGGAGCCATGGAGTTAACATTTCAGACTGAGTAGCGGAGGGAAAACGCAAAGGGAAAGACTTGAAACTCTAGTAACATCATAATAAAAGTAGAAACTCTTATGTGCTGAGGCGATGATGAAGAGAGTTTAGAGAAGCTTGTGAGAAAGCCACATCACCTCCATTCAGATATGTTTGCAATCCTTTTTCAAGACTGCCTTATCAGTCAGGGTTCTCCAGAGACTCAAAACAAATCAGATCTATTTGTTTAGCTGGTATTTGCCTTTCAGGTCTGCCATTATGGTCCCTGGACTCCTCAAGCTGGGCTGGGCACCCTGGCCTTCTGTGGTCCTTGATAGAGACCCATGTTGCAGGGTTTTTTTGTATAATAAATAATGCTGCTACCTTAGAATATCAACAATATCTTATTTCTCTAAGCACCTGGTTCTATTTCTGGTACTCATTAAGCCTTACTATTGAGTAAATTCTGCTAGACTGAGTTTTTTGAGAATGAGGACTTTGTCTTGTTCGTCTTTAGCAGTGCTGACTTGTCCTTTTTGTTGTGTGGAATTTAGTTGAAGGCATGAAGTTGGTGAGATAACACCAATTATAACCCTTCTCCTTTCCTCCGTCTCTGACTTGCCTTTCTTTTTTAGTCATTCCTCCTCTGTGTTGCCATGGGAATTCAAGGCCTGGCCAAACTAATTGCTGATGTGGCCCCCAGTGCCATCCGGGAGAATGACATCAAGAGCTACTTTGGCCGTAAGGTGGCCATTGATGCCTCTATGAGCATTTATCAGTTCCTGATTGCTGTTCGTCAGGGTGGTGATGTGCTGCAGAACGAGGAGGGTGAGACCACCAGCCACCTGATGGGCATGTTCTACCGCACCATTCGCATGATGGAGAATGGCATCAAGCCCGTGTATGTCTTTGATGGCAAGCCGCCACAGCTCAAGTCAGGTGAGCTGGCGAAACGCAGTGAGCGGCGGGCTGAGGCAGAGAAGCAGCTGCAGCAGGCTCAGGCTGCTGGGGCCGAGCAGGAGGTGGAAAAATTCACTAAGCGACTGGTGAAGGTCACTAAGCAGCACAACGATGAGTGTAAACATCTGCTGAGCCTCATGGGCATCCCTTATCTTGATGCACCCAGCGAGGCAGAGGCCAGCTGTGCTGCCCTGGTGAAGGCTGGCAAAGTCTATGCTGCGGCTACCGAGGACATGGACTGCCTCACCTTCGGCAGCCCTGTGCTAATGCGACACCTGACTGCCAGTGAAGCCAAAAAGCTGCCAATCCAGGAATTCCACCTGAGCCGGATTCTTCAGGAGCTGGGCCTGAACCAGGAACAGTTTGTGGATCTGTGCATCCTGCTAGGCAGTGACTACTGTGAGAGTATCCGGGGTATTGGGCCCAAGCGGGCTGTGGACCTCATCCAGAAGCACAAGAGCATCGAGGAGATTGTGCGGCGACTTGACCCCAGCAAGTACCCTGTGCCAGAAAATTGGCTCCACAAGGAGGCTCACCAGCTCTTCTTGAAACCTGAGGTGCTGGACCCAGAGTCTGTGGAGCTGAAGTGGAGCGAGCCAAATGAAGAAGAGCTGGTTAAGTTCATGTGTGGTGAAAAGCAGTTCTCTGAGGAGCGAATCCGCAGTGGGGTCAAGAGGCTGAGTAAGAGCCGCCAAGGCAGCACCCAGGGCCGCCTGGATGATTTCTTCAAGGTGACCGGCTCACTCTCTTCAGCTAAGCGCAAGGAGCCAGAACCCAAGGGATCCACTAAGAAGAAGGCAAAGACTGGGGCAGCAGGGAAGTTTAAAAGGGGAAAATAAATGTTTCCCCATTATACCTCCTTGACCCCAGAATATTTGCCCTCTTGTACCCTTAAGAGCTACAACTAGAGAAACCTTCACAGGAGTGGAGAGAGGATTCTAAGGCTTTTCTAGTGTGACCCTTTTCAGTAGTGCTAGTCCCTTTTTTACTTGATCTTAATGGCAAGAAGGCCACAGAGGTACTTTTCCTTTTTTAGCTCAGGAAAATATATCAGGCTCAAACCACTTCTCAGGCAGTTTAATGGACACTAAGTCCATTGTTACATGAAAGTGATAGATAGCAACAAGTTTTGCAGAAGAGAGGAGATAAAAGGGGGAGACAAAAGATGTACAGAAATGATTTCCTGGCTGGCCAACTGGTGGCCAGTGGGAGGTGATGGTGGACCTAGACTGTGCTTTTCTGTCTTGTTCAGCCTTGACTTACCTTGAGAGAGAGCCATCAGGAAGGTGCTTCTTAGCAGATGGGAGGAACTGCTGAGAGAAGATAGGCAGAGAGCTGGAGCCCCTGGAGTTGACTGTGTCTGTGTTTGTGACTGATTATTGGCTATGTCTTGGGTGGGCAGAAACTCGAACTTGATATGTAATTTGTGTCTGGTTATTCAGAGGAGTAAGATGGTGATGTTCATCTGGCAATCAGCTGAGTTGAGACTGGGATAAGACACTGGTTTTCATGCGCTGTTTTTGTTTTAAAGTTATGAAGAAAAAAGGTCAATAAAATTATAAAAGTGACCAAAATGTCATGTTCTTTGAGAACATTTGAAAATATCCCAAGTGACCATGACTCCAAATAGTTTTCCTTTTCACTCAACATGCTGTGTAATTGCACCCGATTAACAATGGGTGGTTTGAGAGTGTCCACAAGATGGCACCATGCTCCATAAAATGGCCATAGCAGATGGAACTTCAGCCATTAGGAGGAGGATGCTTTATTTCATCTTGCTGGGAGAGGAGTTTTAATACCTTGAATAGATTTCTAGATCTCTCATGTGAGATCAAAGGAGTGCCTTTAAGAAAGTCTCACAAGTTAGATCTTCTACGTCATAACATCCAAGCATTTACTTTGCCACTACTTGTAAACTGAAAGCTGCCATTCAGAAACCATTTTCTTGTTCCTTTTGTAAACTGAAATCCAAGGTATTGTTTCCCATAGAGATCGCATGTTTTTGAACTTTGAAAGTTTTATAATCCTGAGAAAGCTTGGTGGGGAACTGGCCCATTTGAATGTCCGATGTTTTAGCATTCCTGTCAGGGCCATTTGAAGTTAACATGGACACTTATGTAACTGTCCGAAATTTAAGCTGGCAATGTCTTGACAGATTAAACAGTTAGGGAGCCTGAAGACCAGTAGTTTTCAAGTTTTTTAATGGAGAAACCTATTCTTCAAGTGTAATCTTATGTGAAATTTCAGGATATACAAGTGCCTCTGGTTGAAGCTGGAATGGGATAAAGTTTACCCAACAATGGCTTCATAACTAGGGTACTTTTTGAAAACTCTGATGCTGACAAAAAGTTCTATCCCAAGGGCAGGTAACTTTTGAAACTGATTTTCCCAGATTATACCAAGCCACACAACTTATTTGAGCTCTGTTTTCTGATTCAGGTAGATTGCTTCTAAGTCTGCAGTAGTAGTGATAGGAACTAAAGATGTAAAGATGGTAAGATTTCTTTTTTTTTTTTTTTTTGAGAGGGAGTCTTCCTCTGTCGCCCAGGCTGGAGTGCAGTGGCGCGATCTCCGCTCACTGCAAACTCCGCCTCCTGGGTTAAAGCGATTCTCCTGCCTCAGCCTACCGAATATCTGGGACGACAGGCTCCTGCCACCACACCTGGCTAATTTTTTTGTATTTTTAGTAGAGACAGGGTTTCACTGTGTTAGCCAGGACGGTCTCGAACTCCTGACCTCGTGATCTGCTCACCTTGGCCTTCCAAAGTGCTGGGATTACAGGCGTGAGCCACCGTGCCTGGCCCTTTTTTTTTTTTTTTTGAGACAGAGTCTCTCTTGTCACCCAGGCTGGAGTTCAGTAGTGTGATCTTGGCCTTAACCTCCTGGGCTCAAGCGATTCTCCCACCTCAGCCTCCCAAGCAGCTGTGATTACAGTCTCAGGCCACCATGTCTAGATAATTTTTCAATTTTTTGTAGAGATGGGATCTCACTGTTGCCCAGGCTGGTCTTGAACTCCTGGGCTCAAGCAATCCTCCTGCCTCGGCCTCCTAAAGGCTAGGATTGCGTGTGCCATCCTCTCCCAGTGCTGGGATTACAGGATGAGCCACCTTGCCTGGCGAAATGTTAAGATTTCTTAGGAGTTATTGCCTCAGTGCAGTAACTCTTGATAATTAAGGGCTTATACCCTGTGGTAGTCAAGATTGTAGTGGTTTTCTTTTGTCTTTCGAAGGTAAGTTTGTCTCCTATAGAATTTTGCTATCTAACTTTCTGTGTGCACACTGCAGGGAAGATTAATGATGCCTACAAATGTTTTTGCTCAGGAGAGCTGTCTTAGTTGGATGGTTAAGAGGCATTGCTCTGCAGTCCAGCTCTAAGGGATCACACTTGCAGAGAAAGAATTTAGGCAGATAGGACTTAGGGAGACTATTTGGAAACTAGAAATGAGTTTAAAAGTAAAGAGAGGCCAGGCACAGTGGCTCACGCCTGTAATCCCAGCACTTTGGGAGGCTGAGGTGGGTGGATCACCTGAGGTCAGGAGTTCAAGACCAGCCTGGCCACCATGGTGAAACCCTGTCTCTACCAAAAATAAAAAATTAGCTGGGCGTGGTGGTACATGCTTGTAATCCCAACTACCCGGGAGGCTGAAGCAGAATTGCTTGGACCCAGGAGGCGGAGGCTGCAATCAGCTGAGATCATGCCACTGCACTCCAGCCTGGGCAACAAGAGTGAAACTCTGGTCTCAAAAACAAAACAAAACAAAAACGATTAGCCTGAGGTAGGAAGATGACTTGAGGCTGGGAGGCAGAGATTGCAGTGAACTGAGATGGCAGCACCACTGCACTCCAGCCTGGGTCATAGAGCTAGACCTTGTCTCAAAACAAGTAAGTAAAAATAAAGAGAAAATAATTCAGAATGGAAAGCTGAAGGACAAAAGGGCAAGGGCATTGCCTCATGAATAGGAGGAATTGATACATGTGAAACTTGGTGAGATTACTGACAATCTCACATTTGAACACGGGAGTCATCAGAAGGAGTTTGCCTTCCTCTTCCTTGCCATACTCCACCCTTGTCTTGGTGTTTTCTCGAGGGTCCTGATGTTCCTTCCTCTGCCCAAGGAGCTTATACAAAGGGGAGTCTAGTGATTAAAGAGCACAGAGAGGTGAACAGTAACTTGTAGCAGAGGCACTCAGGAATCCTGCACACACAGAGGAACATCATGGGTTACAAATGAAGTCTTTTGGTCAAAATTAACTTTATTTTTCAACTTCACAGGGATATGATAACAAAATTGGCACACACAAAAAGGATACTGATATTGGGCCTGATTTAAAAAAATGCCTCTGGCCAGGTTGTAAAAAAAATGAACCAAGATAAACATAGGAGTTGGAGTTGTAAAAACGTGAGTTGGAATTCGTTCTGCCATGATCTATTTGACCAGAGGCAGCTTTTCCTCTCTAAGCCTATTTTACGTCTGTCAGTAGATTTGAGATCACTCATTTTACCACTGTAACATTCTGAGCCTTTTGTCACTGTGTGTCCCTTTGTGGCCATGTGAAAGACCACCGTGCTGTAGGCTGAGAAGGCCACAGTGGTTCAGGTGCTTTGAGGACCTGGTCTTGGCTCGATAGAGCCTCACTGGTGTTTGCTCAGATTGGGCAGCCTGGGCCCAAAGCCATTTGGCTAAACAGGCTGGTGACACCACACACAAACTTTAGGCGGCAAATAGGAAGGATCAGCACCTATTTTGGAGTCAGGAAGCCAATGAGGTACAGCTCCTCAATTCTGCTTCTATTTTTTTTTTTTTTTTTTTGAGACAGGGTCTTGTTCTGTCACCCTAGGCTGGAGTGCAGTGGTGATCTCAGCTCACTGCAGGCTTGACCTCCTGGGCCCAAGCGATCCTCCTGCCTGGACCTCCCAAAAGTGTTGGGATTACAGGCATTAGCCACTGCACCCAGCTTGCTTCTAATTTTCCTACCCAGGCTGTTTTAAACCAAGTTATCCAGCTAAGTTAAATGTGCCCAAATGGAAAACATCTAAATCTTCTGCTGCCCATTCTTCCTGTGTCTTTGTGTTGACAAACCTCTAACCTTCCACGTCTTTGTGTTGACAAACCTCTCCATGGGTGGTGCCTCTGACCCTATCCCAGCATGCCTTAGGATGCTCATCTCCTTGCTGTCTGCCATCCCCTCCCAAAACTAAATGTAGGCTCTGTCTTTTCTTTCTAGTTTGAGGTTCTTCTCCCAGTGTCCAAAGTGATCAATACGCCTAGAGTAGATGCTGCTGAAGAGGCAAAGAAGTAATCCCCCCACCTGGAAGCAAAGGCTGTGGGTTGGAGGGGGAAACGGGTATGAGGGCTGATGATAAACCCAGGGAGTAAAGGCTCCTGAGGCATATTCCTATGTTTGCTCTCTGGAGAGATGGGCTAAATTGTTTATCTTTTAAAAACCAGGTGATTAAAAAGTTATATTTTAGTATTACACTGATAGGAATTTAGGATAATCTCTTCTAAAGCCTATTTGGTCTCCAGCAAGACGGTCTCCGCTCTCGAGTGGCGACAGAGTAAGATACCTAGCTATAGCAACGGCAGTCAAAACTGTTCTGTGGTTTTAATCTTCCTATCTCTGATTTAGAAGTATGAGTGATCATATTTAATCTTTCTGCCTCCTGCTAAAAAATACTAATGCTATAACATCATTTAGGTTTATAGAGAAGTTGCTTTTATAGCCCTTACATTCTTTTTTTTTTTTTTTTTTTTTGGACGGAGTCTCGCTCTGGTCGCCCAGGCTGGAGGTGCAGTGGCCAGATCTCAGCTCACTGCAAGCTCCGCCTCCGGGTTTACGCCGATGTTCTCCTGCCTCAGGCTCCGGATGTGTGGGACCACGAGGCCGCGCCGCGACCTCGGCCGGTTAGGTGTTTCTTTTGTATTTGTTTAGTAGAGACGGGGTTTACGTGTTCGCCAGGATGGTCTCGATCTCCTGACCTCGTGATCCGCCCGTCTCGGCCTCCCAAAGTGCTGGGATTACAGGCTTGAGCCACCGCGCCCGGCAGCCCTTACATTCTTTATGACTGAAATGTGTATCTTTCCTCATGACTGATAATTATCTCCCAATTTGGTCACTTATGCTAACTGCTATTTTATTAAACTTGAAATTTTAGGTTGGGAAGCAAAGGGAAACCACCAGGCATCCCCTTTGTTTCTAGGGAGAAAAGACTAACTTGTCCCATCTGCTCATTTGCTTATGGAGCTAAAAGTAAGACTCCCAGTCCTAGGAGTGTTCTGTTCCTGTTGGATGGTTAAGTGAAAAGAAGAAGTGAATTAAAAGATGAAAGGGCTTTTAAATAGCCAGCAACTCTCTACCATCTGTTTTGGTAAGAGCTAGCACCTCTTGTTCTCTTTAGACCCTGGAGGGAATAAAACAGAATCAGTGGTTCCAGGATCCTTCAGAGCCAAAAGACTCCAATACCACAGTCTTGACCTTTGCCTTTCCTGCTTCTGAAACTGGAGAATGGCTTCTACCAGCAGCTTAAGGCAGACGTAGGTCATACCTATCCCTGGGCAGTGAGCTGAGCTCCTAGAGACTGAGTTGTGCTGGACCTCAGAATTCTAAGCATTAATGATTCCTTGCTGTTATAATTCTTGCTCATCAGGTTCAACTGCTTTATCCCTCTGAGGTTTGCAAATGAGGATGGAGAAGGCACTGAGAAGTGGACCAGTGAGCTGAGCTCACCCTTTGTATGAGTGGATTTTTGGTTTCTTTTTTTTTTTGAGATGGAGTCTTGCTGTGTCGCCCAGGCTGGGGTACAATGGTGTGATCTCAGCTCACTGCAACCTCCACCTCCTCGGTTCAAGAGATGATCCTGCCTCAGCCTCCTGGGTAGCTGGGATTACAGGCGTGCGCCACCACACCCGGCTAATTTTTCTCTTTTTAGTAGAGACAGGGTTTCACTACGTCAGGCTGGTCTCGAACTCCTGACCTTGTGATCTGCCTGCCTCGGCCTCCCGAAGTGCTGGGATTACAGGTGTGAGCCGCCATGCCTGGCATGAGTGGAATTTTAGTGTTAAATCTCTTCCTGACTCTGGGTTCAGTAGGTCCCTCCTCTTCTGTTACCCTCCTGGTTCTCTCTGCTCACCAACCACCTGTGTGTGCCAAACTAGAAAAAGGAAATAATTTACACCCCTGCCCCAACAGCTCCTTCCCTCCTTCTGGGGGCTTCTGTGTCCACCAAACTTTGGGTCTTAGAACTGTGGCTAGAAGATAAAAGGGAGGAGTTTGAGTCAGAGCCTTTATGTCCCCAAACCCACCCCCCTCTGAGTATTAAACTACAGTGGCATTGTCCCTCAAACTCCCCTCTGCTTTGGCTCCAGAGTCTTCCTCCTCTTCTTTCAGACTGGACAGGGTGGCTGTTGTTATTGGTGAAGATAGGCATCTAGCCAGAGCTGCCCTGACTCCTTTAGTGAGCTGCAGGAACAAAATGGGGGTAGACAGTGAGGGAGGCAAGCGGAGCTGAACCCACCAGAGATGCAGCAGTGAGGTTAAGGCCTTCTTCCAGCTGGAGGCTTTCCTCCCCTCTACTTTAGAGAAAGCTAGCTTGGGCCATGGTACTGAGGGGAACCCCAGTGAGGGCAAAGGCCTGACCTGGCCACAGGACCAATAAAGAATCCTGCCTTTGCCATGGTGAACTCCATCCCACACGACTGGGAATACCTTCTGTTCACTCCCCACCCTACATGTCATCATTTCCATTGCCCTGCCCTCTTCCCTCCCTACCGGCCATCTTCTTGGGCTCAGATACTCACTGGATGATGTCGGCGAAGGCTGATAGCAGGGGCTTGGACTGGTACTCTATGCCATGCTTGGCACACAAGGACTGCACCAGGGGAGCCACTTTGTGGTAATTGTGTCGAGGCATCATGGGAAAAAGACTTCAGGGAGAACGAACAGCAGGGAGTCAGTGGTTCCTGCTTCTCTGCTCCCACCTGTACCCTACACTTATACCCTCCCCAGGACCCTGCTTCCCCAGGCTCCCTACTCACTGGTGCTCAATCTGGAAGTTGAGGTGTCCACTGAACCAGTCATTGAAGGCAGACTTGTGGACATTGCATGTGGCCTGGAGCTGGAGGAAAAGGTCAGGGGAGAGCATGTTGAGTATCAGATGGAAAGGCCAGCCCAGCATTCTCCAGGTAAAGCTGGGTGAGGCAGGGACGTGAGACTGTCTTGGTCACTCCCTTCACATGGTAGCAGAACAAGAGCCTCAGGCTAATGAGAAAATGCTGTTTGGGGGACTTTTTGTTTTTGCTATTTTCACCTACCCACCCTTTTCAATAGTTATGTTATGCTCCAGTCTTCTGAGTGACTGTCCCTTACCTGGGTGGAAACCCAGTCCATGTTCCGGTCATGATCAATGTGCATGGGTATATGGTTCATCTGTGTCACCCACACAAACCAGTTGCTTTCCAGGAACCTGTTGAATGTTACACAGACAAAAACAGTATACACAGAGCCCAGAATTCGGATTTCCCCCTCAGATAACTGCTCCAGCCTATCTACTTTCCCAAGCCAACTCCTGAAACACCCACTGTTACCCAAAGCCCCAGCACGGCCCCTAGACCAGACTGGTCACTCCCCAACATTTCTTTCACCAGTCCCTACCCGCCCCCACCAAATACTACCTGACTATGAAGTAAAGGCCCAGGAAGGCTTTCAGTCCCAATAGTGGCACATAAGTGAGGAGTAAGCGGATGTAGAAGGTGATCATCCAGGCCAAGTCCTATAGTGAGGAAAGCAGTGAGCATAACAGTCACGAACAGCTCTTCTCTTCCTGTCACCAGCTCTTTCTTTGTATGGTGCAGCCATTCTCCTGGGTATCCAGACTCAGTCGTCTTCAGCTTCTCAGGGGTCCAATCCTGCAATATCTAGTGCCACTGCTCCTTTCTTCCATTCCCATTCGCACCCCCCAGCTCTTCTTGCTGTCCCCTTCAAAAGTACCAAGGCCTACAAGGTCTCCTTGCCTCTAGCTCTTCCCAGCCAATTTAAATCCTTCAGCATGCTGCCAAATGAATCTTCCAGGACCATGGCTCAGTCCATGCCAGTGCCCTGATGAAATCTCTCATTGCTTTTCTGTACACTGAACCAAGCACCATACTCTTCCCCTGACACTAGTCCTCCACAATATGTCTGGTTGTCAAACTTACCCCTCATTTCCAGCTTTTCTGCTTGAAGTTCATCCCCACTGCCCCACCTCTGCCTGTCAGAAACCCCGCCCAGCCTCAAGGCCAGCTAGAAAAGTGATTTTACAAAGCCAGGTGCAGTCAGGCCCCTTTTGGAGTCCCCAGAACCTATTGCCTGTACCTCTTTTCTGATTTAACAACCACATTCTGCTTCATCAGAAGTTTCCTTGAAAGTAGGTATTATCATTCATCTTGCCCATTCCCAACTCAGCCCCCTGGCATTATGCCCAGTACAAGAACCTCTGGAGACACTGGCTGCATGAAATTGCACATTGGGAATCAGGCTGCCTGCTAAGCTCAAATCATTTTGTCCCACTTAGAGAAGGCAAGGATCTGTGTCTGCTTCTATTAGTTTGCTCTAAATTAGGCCTGGAGTCAGCCTCAGTTTCCCCTGGGGAATCCCTATGCCCTACTCTGGGTGCTGGAGACAAGGATGTGGGCTTCTTGGGTCATGGATACTCACCACCCACTTCTTTCGCTGGATAACAAAATAGAAAACATACCACTGGAAGAAGAGAGGCACCAAGGCTGGGGGCCCAACTGGGGAGGAAACCAAGACAAAGAGGAGGCGTGAGCACAAGACGGTCATGAAAGGGCCAGTTGATGCTGGAGAGATGGCCTCTAGCAGGGGACTGCCTCTTCCGATCATCCCTTCTGTCTCCCCTCCAGCTGCTTGAGTGCTCTGCAATCCACTGGAACCAGCAGGCACCGAAGGTGGGCATAAATCCAAGTATGGGGAGGGCAAAAACTCTTAAGAGGATGCCAGGGAAGGTGAGGGGCGTGAGTGGCACTCTTCAGTGACAGGCAGCCTGGGAACTCAGGCCTCACGCATGGGACTTGCTCTGCTCCCACACCTTTATAATTTTTCATTTTTCTTCACTTCCCTATATACACACTTCATGGATCCCACACCTTTAAAAGGGTGCCAATACTATC